AATCCATCACCTCAACAGAGCAGACTGAATTACTTCGATGACTGGCAAATGGGCACCACTTGTGGTGAAATGAAAGCAGTCAGGTGTGTGTTTATTAAGTGCTCTTCAATAGGAGAAATGTGTTTTCCTGAAAACTCTCATCCATGCTATTTTTGTAGAAGCAAAAAAAAGTGCCCATCTTCCTTTGAGAAAACAGAAGAATTATTTTTCTTGAGAATCTGTACTATTACAATAGAAATTCACAATCATAAATGTGTTATAAAAATCAGGCTTTTCTACAGTGTATGCAGGAACAGTGGAAGCTTGCAATAATAACTGGCAGGGGCACAGCCAGTACTCTTGGGCAATGTGCCTTTGGTTTTCCAGTACTGCCCAATTCAAGTGGATCACTTAAAAAAGTTAAGTCAGTTCATTAATTTGATGACCAGTGGTTCTACATATAAGGGTTTTCATAAAAATAAATTCACAAGTCAGAAAATATCTTTTGTCAGACCATGTTTTCTAAGGTTTAGGTCAGAAAATGTGATCATTCTAATGCATACCATGTTGATTATTTATATTATATCAGATCTTTATTAGAAATACTGGCTGGTTAGTTGTGAAGGTCTGGCATTATTTGTCTAGATCTGGCATATGGGTAAGATCAGCAGTAATAGCAGAGTATTTATTGAATGCTTACTATATGCAGGTACTGTGCTAAAAGCTGGGGATATAAGACCCTCACTCACCTCCCCCAAAAAAGACACAGTCTCATGTTGCTGACAACAACCCTGTGAAGCAGATACAGACAAAAGAATAAGTTTATAGAATTTAAGTAATTCGTCCAAGATAGGTCAGCTATAAAGTGACAGAGCTGGAATTATGGTGCTGTATTTGTTATAGCTACCTAACCTATATTCTGGTTAAGAGATACCAAAGTATAGTGGCTTAAGAAAGAAGGAGCTCCTTGACACAACAAAGCTGCTGTAGCAGTTCTGGTTTCTTATGTTTAGATTGTTGGGTCAGGGAGATGTAAACTTCTGTCTGATACCTCTGTTATCCCTGGATTTTTGGCCTCATTAATATGTCTGAAGATGCATATGCGTTCTCTTTAAGGGCACTCCCTGGAGGTTGTACTTCTGACTTTTTTTTTTTTTACTGCAACAGTTTATTTTTCCTTACACAATAGCATGTTGCTGTGGCCTGATGTTCTCACATAACAATAGAAAACCAAAATTTGTCGTCATTGCTTAAAGGATTGAGAATTGTGTGCAAAAGAAACCTTGTATAAATTAAAAGGATGAATAAATTTACAAGTGTACATGCAAACTGCTTCCAACTCAAAACAAGTTACAGCCCATGGTATTCTGGCAGGAAAACACCAGATAGAAAGAAAACAGGGTTCTAAGGCTTGGACTTCTCCAATCCTGATATACTGGTGAGACGGAAATGACAACTGCTTCAGGAGCCCTTGCCAGCCTCTAGAGAAATCCTGGAACACTTAGCCCTGACACATTAATACCTGCACAGATTGGAGACTGCTGGCCATGCACACTCACCAAGCCACAGACTTCTCTCCTACAAGCGTGTTCTCACCTCAGTCACAGAAGTGACTGAGCCACATGTATTAGTATTAAGAGTTTAAATCACAGGTATTCCTGGTTTCTACTCACATCCCATCCGTCATACCTAGCTACAAGGAAGGCCTGAAAATATAGTTTTTTGCGGCCATTCATCCCATAAAATTCAAGGATTCTATCAATAAAAAGAAGTAGGCAGTGGGTATTAGGAGACAGTTGTCATTCTGAGTCACATGCTAACAAAAACATTGTTTCAAAGTGGAGTTTTCCCCACAGACTTGTCCAAGTGATGAAAGACCTTAACACTTTGGGGTATGCCTAAATCCATTATCCAGTTTTTTTCAAGTAAGGTTATGTGTATATGTATGTTGTGTGGTATATTTAAATATTCAAAATATGTGACATATCATGAATATTAAATGATTCTACAGTGGACTGTGGTCATCTGTAAGAGCCAGTGAAACATTTTATGGTGAAGTCTACTGGCTTTAATCGTTGGCAGGAAGGCTTACAAAACCCCCAGGATTTGTCTTGCTTGCATCCTAACTCTCATAAAGATCTTGGACTGAGAGATCTATGTTGTAAGAAGTGTGTTCTTAAAGAAATGCCTCTAAGGTTTTATAAAAATTAAATTAAGGTTTTGAATGAGGGATGTACTCAATGCATGAATTATAAATAACACTGACCGAGAACTTCAAGTTTTCTCAGAATTCTTGGTCTATTCTGATGTAATTTAGACGTTTACTATAGAAAAATCAGTACATTTTCATTGAGAAGATATTTAGATACTAATTGCATTCAGATCCTTGCCCACATGTTTCTTGAGGCCACGGGTACTCAGAGGAGATGAGCACAGGCTACACCTCAAGTGTTTAATACATACACATAAGTTCTTAGGCTACCTGGGCCCCAGCCCTCCTACTCCAAACCTAAAGCAGTCTCTGTTGAGCTCAGCTCAGAGGCAGTTTCAGTCCAGTTTTATCACACTGGCCATGTGGAAGTAGAAAGAAGCAATCCAAAGAGAGTGAGAACCTTAAAGAGATGAACCCCAAAGAGGCGAGAGCCCACAGAAGTTAAAGCTTTAACATTTTCTCCTAGTACACCAAAACCTCCTCCCTCTTAGAAAAAGTTAGCTACTCGGGAGGCTGGGGCAGGAGAATTGCTTGAGCCCGAGAGGTGGAGGTTACAGTGAGCCGAGATTGCAACACTGCACTCGAGCCTGGGAGACAGAATGAGACTCCATTTCAACAAAACAAAACAAAACAAAACAAAACAAAACAAAACAAAACAAAAAAAGAAAAAGTTTAACTGAGTTGGGTAACTTGATTCAGTCATTTTGTGTCTTTTCCTCCTTGGGGATGGGATTGGGTAGAGGTAAGGAGAAGATGGGGTGGAAATTTCCTCTCCTTCTCCTTCTAGAGATCAGCACCAGGCACTTTGGAGAAAGCATAATAAGTACAAGACATGACCTTTATCCAGTTCTCAAAGGGCTAGCACAATCTTTTGGGGAAGGTAATGTTTACCAAACATTTAGTTAAAATCAAGTGCTAAACTGTATGATATTGATTATTCTGAAGGAATCCAGATAAGGGATAAATTCATGTGGATTTGCTTCTTGGGGAAGACTTTTTAGATTGTGTCACAAGTGTCAGGACAAGGGATGAAAATTTTGGAGCTAATTAAGAAGGCAGAAAAGAGAATGTGAACAAAGATTCAGAATGAGCTTAGAGGTTAGTAGACCTGTGTGCTCGAAGCAGAGACTTCATGTTGGACACTAGAAAATGAAGTGAAATAAGAAACTGGAAGATGTCAAAAATCAGGCAGGGGTTAGGCTATAGGAGAGGCCATTAATAATAGAATGTGGTAAGAATAAATTAATAACTGACAGAATAATCATGCGTATAGTGCTATCATTTGTCTAGGCTGGGCAGAGGAGGTTCCTATGAAGGGTCTCAGCAGCATAGGTTTCCAGGAAACAGGAGGAAGCCAACATTAGGTGTATTAGGGACTGGGAACCTGGTTTCACTAGGGTGAGCCAGCAGCCCAATCCTTAGTGACCAAGTGGATGTGATGATCTTGGGATTAGTTCAGGGAAGGTGTTGATACCTGAGATTTAATTTAGCAGGAAGTTTGGGCCACTAGAATTGTAGATGTCAGGTGAGATTTTGAGTCAGGAGGGGTGCTATCATGGAAGAAAGCAGTCTATTCACAGCTGGATCCCAGCTTGCAGCTGGGGGCCTGGAATGGAATCTAGGGAAGAGTTTTATAAGGGCCCTAGTCAAGTAGATTTTAAGTTCAGGGCAAGGCATAAGGCATTGTAGGAAACAGAAAATCCAGTCAGGGCAGACGCCAGCTGTGAGGATTGAGTCAAAGTGTTTGGAGCTAGGAAAACAGGGAGAAATGAAGAAGGAATGTAAAGTTAGTGCAACTGAATGCATTTGTGGTCAACTATAGAATTCCAGTCTCACCATCCGCTGGGCTGAAGTTGCTTCTCTAAGGCCGGCTGTGATGAGGATGGGTTGAAGGTTATGGAAGTGCTAGCCTTTGAAGTGTAGATGTCAGGGGCCCAAGCTCAGAGGGAGCCCAGAATGAATAACTGCGGTAGAGGCCCAGAGGAGGTAGCATCACTTGGAAGGAATTGAGACCATGGCAGAGGTGGTGTAGGCCTAACTAGGATACCATCTGATTCCAGGCTGAGGAGAAGAGGGCCTTAGCAAGGAGGTGTGGTGGAGGCAGGGTCTACAATAAGACAATCCAAAGAGAAAGCAGCCCCTGAGCATGTGAATGAGTTGAAATATTTCTTGTAAAGACGCCTCTCTTTTCTGGTCCATGATAATGTAATTAATATACAAGGTATGACTGGATACTTCCATAGTGTTCTCGTGGGGCCCGTTACCTAGCTGATGTTTCAAGTGTTCGTGTATGCCTCTGTCTTTGACCCACCTGGCTGGTTCAGAGTCTCTGCTGAAGAAAGTGTGCTTCTGCCTGGCTGATTGCTTCACAGCACACTTCTCTATCTGCAGCTGTTGTTTCCCAGCCATCCATATGGTGCCACAGGATGGGACACAGGCAGGGACTTTACAATTCACAAAGGGGTAAGGCTTAGGACCACGAATGCGGATTTTCCTACTTATAAAGGCAAGGAATGAAAATGCAGAATCCTTACCTGGTAGGGAAACTTTCTTTTCCAAATATGCATGTATGTGATATTTCTGATTTCTTTAGGCTTGGATCTGTGCCTGAGGGTGAGATAGATTTCAAAATCATTATTTAAAGTAGGGAGGTAAAGTTTTAGACAGTATCACCACCCTAAGAGATCCTGGTTGTTTTTGAAATGTTGAGCTAAATAACATTTTAGTGATCAGTGAAAGGCTAACCTTTGTACTTTTGAAAAGTTCTCAGAAAGGCCTGGATTAATAATTGGTTTCAATTTGTCCACAGATACACTGCCTCTAGGACTGGGACAGATAGCCACTGAGAACCTGCTTCAAATCACCTTGCACATTTTCTTGTTGGAAAGATAACCACTGGAGAACCATCTCGTTACCTTCAGCAAAAGCGGAAAGCAATCAAGACATTTAGAATGCCACGGCAGACAGCAGTGGTTCAGCAGAGGAAGTTTACAAGATGGTGTGCCACACTAGCTAGAAATCAGAAAAGATCGAAGTTAGCCTTTTTATCTCAGCTGCTCCTTAAATCAGTGCAACCCCTCCAAATTAATGTGAATTAAAACATGCATTGCCTTTCAACTTAATTCAGTACTTACTATGTGTGAACCACTGTACAAAATAGGGGAAGAAAATGAGGGCAACAAAGATGTGGGGCCTGTCCTCAATAAATTTAGAGTTAGTTTCAGGGTACATTTTTTTTTCTTTTGCTGTTGATTAGGTCTATCCCTAAGACAAGAAATAAATGAATGGAAAAGTATATTCTGTAAGTGTTTCAAATCTCTTTAATAAAAAACAAAACAAAACAAAACCTCAAAACTCCTAACATGGGCAACTCGGGACATTTTAATCCCCCTTTTTTTGTTGGACTTCTGATAAGATCCATTTTATTGATTCCATAAATATTCAGTAGACTTTAGAGATATTAATACAATTATAGTTTGAGTTAATTTGCATTAAATTCTATTTTCTCCTCTTAGGTATAGATTGTCTGTTGGAAAAATATATTGTTTGTGGATTTCTTGGGGAGTGGGGAGGTGAATTTTACCTGTTGTCTCTATAGTCCGCTACCTTCCATGCCCCCTAGGGCAGCGGTACCCAACCTTCTTGGCACCAGGGACCAGGTTCCTGAAAGACAGTTTTTCCACTGATGGTGTGGGGGGTGGTTTTGGGGTGAAACTGTTCCACCTCAGCTCATCAGGCATTAGTTAGGTTCTCACAAGTGCACAACCTAGATCCCTCACATGTGCAGTTCACAGTAGGGTTCGCACTGCTATGAGAATCTCAGGCTGCCACTGACCTGACAGGAGGCAGAACTCAGGTGGCAATGCTTACTGACCCACCTCTTGCTGTGCGGCCTGGTTCCTAACAGGCCATGGACTCCCACAGACTGATCCACAGCTTGAGGACCCCTGTCCCAGGAGCCTGCCATTCTGAGTGAGTTATTAGCATGAAGAAAAGGAAGATTTGGTCAAATGTGGGTGGTGGTACTGAGATACCCAAGATAGGACAGGGATGGAACAAAACCCATCTGGGCAATGGCTCTATGAAAATTTGCCTAAGTAATTATTTCAGTATTCATTGTATTGTCCTTTGTGTTCCATAAGTTAAATGACTGTCCAGTTTTTCCAAAAATTTATTTCTGACTTGAATATAAGTGTGTCATGATTTTCCCAGTGTAAAGACACTGATATTACTGTAGACACCAGACATTTTATGTAGTGTCTGTGACACATTTTGGTATGTATGAGCCAACAATAGACATGTCTTTGTCTTGAGGAGTGTCCATCTGAATTGAAAATGTGTCAGCTTTTTTTTTAACATCATCAACAGACTTCTTAATTAAGCTGCCAATACATACTGCCAATAGCACTGTGTGCTGCCTGAGAAATGCATTGTGTAAGTGCTATTTCCATCTTATTAAATAAACAATGTTGCTCCATATAAACTGGATTTAAAATGTTCTTTGAATGAGGGATTATATTGCTCCATAAATAATGTGATGAGAATTCTCATATTATCCCTTTTAATTTAATTTCTAAAAAAATATTATTTGTTCCTCAGTAAAGAATAGCTCTAATTGGACTGGTAACTTTAATGATAAGATTCATCCATTACAGGCTGAATTGCCTCATCCCTAAACTCCTGGTAGCAATACTGGATATTTGTTATGCCACTTTCAGTTTACATGAAGTATCTTCCAGGAAGTCTTAACTATTAACTTGTGTTATAATAAACTGTATTTATTTCCTGTTATGGAAGATTTCTTGGAGGGTCCATCTGTATATTCCTGGTGCCTATCGTAGTCTTGCTAATGGAATAGTACCTTTATTGGTGCTATTTAGGGGTTGGTAGTTTACAATCAATCTACTTAGAATTAATCCAAATAAACTGGATATTTTTTAGGATATGTGCTGCCGAAGCAAGCACTAAACTGGATATTTTTATATAGTCTAGTCCTCTGGGCCTCTTATTTGGTATCTTGAATTTGCCAGTTCAGCCCTGTTATTTGTACCAACGTCCACTCTGCTGCCCTGGACCCTGGCCCACTCTCGACGCATGGACAAGTCTTTTGGAGGGGCTGCTCCATTTCTCATGCGCTGGCCCATCTGTCAACAGAATAGCAATCTCTCTATTCATAGGGTACTCATGGTGTGTCAGGCACTGAGCTACTTTACATATATTCTCTCAATTATCTCCTTTAAACCTCACAATAACAATTTGAAGTAGGCCCTATGAGCTGTGGAGGTATGTATCTTGCTTAAGTTGTGGGACTCCAAATCCAGACCTCTTAGACCCAAAGCCTGAACTAATCAACCCTACTCTGTGCCGTATACTAAGAGAAAGTCCCAGTGCCTGGTGTGTGTGTGTGTGTGTGTGTGTGTGTGTGTGTGTGTGTAGGGTAGATCAGATTTACTGCATTTAATATTCCTGAACAGCCAACTGTCTAACAGATAAAACCCAGCAAATCACAGTTGTTTTGAGAATGGAGGAAGGGCAGAGCAATTGGGAGAAAGCAAAGTCGGAAACAAACCAATTTGAGTCAAACCGCTGGCCTTTACCTTAAACAGCTTTTTTTTTTTTCAACTTACTTTTTTTAACATGGCCTGACACCATATGATAAATCAAAGCCTGACGTAATTGACCCAGAATTGATCCCCAAATGTCTTTTGGGGGAACATGCTTTAACTCTGGTTGTTGATTCTGAGGAATAATTGCCACCCTAGAAAGGTAATTACATATGCCATTGTTTATACACATAATAGGCTCAGAATGCATGTTCTGCACAGAGCGGGAGAGAATCCTACTTGCACATTTGGGGTGTGTGCTATGTATTGTGTTGGGATGCCACAAATAGCATTTGAACTGCTCCCTGTTACTGCTGATTTTTCCAGCGTGTGTGTGTAAGTGTATAAGGGAGAGGTTAGGAGCAAGGTAGGTTGTGGGTCATGGAAGGCTGTTTGTTGAGCTGAATGGTAGTGATTTGCTTTTCCTTAATTTTTTTGTTTACCAAAACATCTTTTGGATCTAATTCATTTAGCTTGGTCTGGTAAAAAGACTAGTTTCTCTGTGCTTGACATATGCTTATTAATGAGTTCTCATATTTCTTTCCATCAAGGTCTCTTTACTTTGTGGAAATATGTAGTGAGAGTCCTTCTCCACAACATCCTCCTAAATGCCCTGGTTTTGACCACCCCTTTAAGTATTAATACACAAGTCAGTCAGGTAAGGTGGTAGCTAGTGCCTTTCCTCTGCTGTGCTTTCTGGTCACACATAAATAGAATTTAAGCCACAAATGACCAATTAAAGCACTTCATGCCTTTTTCCTTTAGCCATAAGACAGTAGTTATCCTAAGTAAATCGGCAAACAGGCTATTCTGGGATAGTCTAATACAAGGAACTTACTTTTTTACAAAATTAAAGCCTTAAGAAAACCAAAATGTCCTGAGTTTTTGTAGTGCAGCACAATGAAAGAAATATGCATGTATTCCAATATGGAACTGAGCATTGTCTGAGGCTGAAGCAATCCATCGTGGGCTATTCTCTGCCACAGTGTCCAGCAAATTGCATGACCTGCTTGTTAGGCTTGACAACAGTGTTTTACCTAACAAAGGCCTCTGCAGCACCGAGCAGCAGTGGAATGTCAGAATGAGCACATTTCACACACAGATGTGCAGCCATAATAGCCTATAAGAAGATGCATGTGGCAGGGGGCTGCGGGAGGGGGCAGGGTGAGGAGGGTGCTTGCAGTGGTGTGGTGTGTGAGTATGTAGGTTGGGGGCCAGAGGGAGGGGGAGGCCAACAGTTAGCAATAGGGACGTGGCCCCACTGACCACATTTAATCAGCTCTCTGTAAACAATTCCACATTTTCATTGTTCTCTAAAAACTAATAAAGAGAAACAAGCACTTTTCATTCATCTTGAAGTAATTTTCTGTCAGGCTGGAGCCCCTCGTGGCCTCCAGCTTGTGCAATGCTAGCTGTGTGATACAACAACTATTGCAATTTATTTTACAAACTCTGGTCATTCACATGTCAGTTAGTGTTCACCAAGCCGGCATCTGAAATTGTGCAGTTAACGAGTTTTACAACATTTCTATCAAGAGAAACTGTTTAGCATAACTGACTCTTAAGGAGTTATTATACCTCTAAAAATCCATTTTAAGGGGCATTATTTAAATAAAATAGAAAAACGGTTCACTGCCTTTTAAAGGGGCTACAAAAAAAGTCCATCAGCTCCAGAGCAGTAATCCTCAGCTTAAAGCACTCTTGAGAGTACTTCTGGGAATTGTCAGCATAATGAAATGTTTTGTGAAATGTCCAGATAGATTCCTCTACTCAACAATTTTACTACACCATATTTATTTTCCTTCCAGTTTTTAAAGAAGTGAATTACTTTTGGAGAGGATGACTACGTTGTGTAGATTAACTGAGCCCATTATTATCGAGGTTGTAGCAGGAGCGATGGTTCTGTTTGTGGTGTCATCTATATGCATCTGCAGAGAGGGTGAAAGAAGAGAAAGGCAGCTTTTCCCTGTTAGTGCTTTGGCTCCAAAAGGGTTAAATCACAATGATGCTCATAGAGTTTTGCATTTTCTTTGTGCCACATTTTTCTCAAACTTTTCAACAACTTTGGCACACAATGGCACCTGTAAATACTTTCTTTAAACTTTACAAAATTGACGGTTTTCTTCCCCTAATGAATAAATGCAGGAAAACCTGTACACGTGTACATTGACGCATGCATAATGATGCATATCATTTGAAACTGGCCCATTTCAATGAGAGATGCCATTGTACATTTTACTTAAGAATAGCTTCCTCACATTAACTGAGATGGCCAATGACCCCAAACCATTTAATGGCTAGAGTCCATAATGGTGGCACTATATAGCATAGCAGCAAGTTCATTTAACATATTATATTACCTAACAGGAGTAGAAGCCACCACATGCTTAATGGTTCTTTCTACAATGAGGACCAGGAGAAAATTTATGTTCTGCTGTAACAAGAGATATTCCTTATCCTTAGAAGATATATCTAAAACACTGCACATTTTCATTTTGCCACAAACAGTCCTCTAATTTCTCAGGCTGATATTTGTGCACATGACTTTAATTTTCTGAGGGAGACGGGCAGGTATTTCTTGTGCCTGTTAGCTGTATCTGCCCATAAGAAGCATAGTAACATCCACGAACCAAATACAATTTGACATAATTCATGCCTTTATTACCTCCTACAGAATGATATTATTTCCTGCCGGCACACTAATGTTTCCAGCACGATACTGTCATTCCTGGAAATTTTACCTTCTGAAGCTCAGATATTGAGGAATGAGTTTTAAAATTCTCTAAGTGCCTTAGATTTGGGGCAAATGCAACATATCCCAAATCAGGTTTTTCACTCTTTTTAAAAAAATTTGCTGGCGTTGCAAATAATGTTCAGGTAATGGGCGAAGATCATGTCTGTAGGCTCTTACCTCTTCTTGACCAGAGAGCTTGTTTCTAGTTCATTTCAAATTTTGTAAATACAATATCGTCAACTTATCAATGTCATATTTTGCTATTTGTTCCTCTAATAATGTGAAATCAGGAGGTGTTGAGCAAAAATGTTTCAATGACTACAACTTGAATCTATCTATCTGGTGTTGTACTTGAATTTTTCCTAACACTCCAGCACTCAGAATTAGGGCAGATGGAATGTATTCGTTTCCTATGGCTGCCAAAACAAATTACCACAAATTTAATGGCTTAAAACAACACAAATTTATTTTCCTGGAGTTCTATAGGTCAGAGGTCTCACTGGGCCAAATCACTTGTCAGCAGAGCTGCATTACTTCTGGACGCTCCGGGGCAGATCTGTTTCCTTGTCTTTCCTAGCTTCTAGAGGCCACCTGCCTTCCCTTGGCTTGTGGCCCCTTCCTCCATCTTCAAAACTAACAACGGCAAGTAGAATATTCTCACGTGGCATCTATCTGACCCCCTTCCATCACCACATCTGTCGCTCTCTGAGTCCAGTTGGAAATTGTTTTAAGCTTTTAAGGACTCATGTAGTTAGATTGAGACCACCTGAAAAAATCTAGGATAATTGCCCCATCTCAAGGTCCACACCCTAAATTACAACTGCAAAGTCCCTTTTGCTGTGCCAGATATCATATTCACAGATTCTGGTGATTAGAACATGAACATTTCTGTGGGACCATTAGTCTGCTTACCACACAGAGTCTCTGAAAGTTCTCTTCTATAGCAATATTTGGAGGATTAATAGCAGTCACCAAGCCAATTGTCTTCGAACTATAAAAATTATGCACAAAAATGCTTAAAAAATTTACAGTATGCACCCCAAAATATGTACATTTTCTTCTAAGTTATGTCACCATTAAACTCTATTTTTTACTGCTAGTAAAACTTCATTTCTTTTTAGTGTATAAATGAATAAAA